TAAGTTCTTGAGAGAAAGAGGGCTTAGAGAATTTGCCATCCACAAGGCATATTCAAGGGAGGAGGGAGAAAATAAACCAGTGCTTTACTGACCTAACAATCTTATGTAAATGTTTAGCAGAATACGGCCTAGGAGAGACAGCAAAAAGATAATATTTACAAAGAGCTACAAAGGGCAGAAAATTGTGGCGAAACATGATCGCACACGTTCTGAAAGCGAAACAGATTATAGAAGAAGAAGAAGAAAAAGCATAACAAGAAGAAGAAGAAGAAGAAGAAGAAGAAGAAGAAAAATAATAATAAGAAGAAGAAGAGGAAGAAGAAGAAGAAGAAGAAGAAGAAGAGGAAGAAGAAGAAGAGGAAGAAGAAGAGGAAAAATAACAAGAAGAAGATGAAGAAGGAAGAATAGAAGTAAAAAGGCACCCTGATAAAAAATTAAATAAAAGCAATAATTCATAAGACTTCGGTCCCATAATTTTCTTTGTAATATAATCTCGCTTTCTTCCTTTATGTGTCGTGTCCTTTAGGACGTATTTGAACATAACTCTCTACGATGTCCAATCCTTTGTCGCTATTAGCGATGTTTCTTTTTTACCATTGCTCACTCTGTTTTGACCTCCATTTGCACAACATTTTAAAGCAGATTACTTGTTGAGATTCAAATTCTCCAAGCCCACAGATTGAGTCCCAAATATGTCGTGTGAGATACCTTGTCTATTCAAGCTGATTACAAGTATTAATGATTTTGTTGTGAGTTTAATTTGCCAAACAAGGTAGTAATATATATTTTGCTCTTGAATGAAAAGCCATTAATTCATATAACTTAAATTTTGAATCTTTAGAAATATTAGCTTTTTAGAGAGTTATATTTTAAATACCTAAAAATACCTAATGAGTCTGGTTCAAATATGTATACTTTAAACATTCAGTGAAAATCATATTCACTGCTCCTGAAAGTGTTCTGCAATTCTCTTGTGGATATAATCAGTGAATATTAGTTTAGCACTGTACGATACAAACAAACGTATGGTAATTTCTCAGTCTAGAACATATGAAACCTGTTTAATCTCAGCAGTTAAAAAAACATTTAAAATTATGGAATTTGAAAGCTCTTCTTAATTGAAAAATTGGAATAGAATTTTATGTGTTATGATCGTCTAGATTGTTATGAAATTATTTTTGCAATATACGCGCACTCTCGCTTTTCGAAATAATCGCGTTGGTATTTAAAAAAATAAAGCGAAACAATATCCTGTTAATAGAATTATCTGTTCAAATGTATGAAGGAACTAATCATATTATTTATTACTTTAATGGAATTGATATGTGCTTATTTATTCAGCTTTTCGGGTAAATGTCTTAACTGATCAAGATATATTTTAAGCTTTAGTTTAAACATAATTTAATAAGGTCCAAAACCTGAACAAATATTACTACATTTAAATGCGTATTCCCATGTCTTTTTCAAATGTACGGATTTAAGTGATCTTACAGTTTGTTTTTGTTTTTTGTTTTGTTTTGGCTTTCTTTTGCGTTTGTGTCAAAAGGAATTTTGAATTTGATACATAAAAGTTTTAATGATGCAATGATTGGAACACATAGCAACATAACGCGAATTAAACCGAAATATATATATATATATATATATATATATATATATATATATATATATATATATATATATATATATAAATATATATATAAATATATATATATATATATATATATATATATATATATATATATATATATAAAATATAAAAGTGAACATAGAAGTCAACACTTAGAGGCGACAGTCTGTTTCATGCAATATGCAATCGTCAGGCCACATATGCTGTTATTTTTTCTCGACTATTTATATATATACGAGTTAGTGGTGCATTGTGGGTATTCTATTATGGCGGTTATTTTTACCGAAGTCGCTTTGTTTATTTATTTGGGTCAAATTATATTGCTCGTTTTTATTTTTTGTTTCTTATTTTATGTATTTTTTTAACGTAGTAAAAATTTATTTATTTATTAACGTAGTAAAATTATATTTACACACGCTCTATCTCTGATATTGAGCACTTTATCCCATAAATATAGCATACCTTGAACTATATTTCTTTATATATATATATATATATATATATATATATATATATATATATATTCACATATACACACACACATATATATATATGTACGTATATACGTAATGATACTAATGATATATATATATATATATATATATATATATATATATATATATATATATATATATATATATATAAATATAAAGTACAAAATAATTTACACACGACAGTATGACCCGGAGATTTATGCACTATTAATTAAATTAAAAAAAAAGAAACAACCTTAAGGTTCCATGACTATAATTTAATTTCCAAGAAAATATATTTTTCCTGGTTCATCAGGTCACATCTCTAGTTACAAAGGAATTTGGTTTACAGATTATTTTTTTTTTTTTTTTTAATACAAGTTATTTGCGGGAGAGATTTAGATTCATGTAAGGAGGGGGAGGAGCGTAGTGTGATCTAAATTAGAAATGGAAGCGACTTACAGGGTTATGTTTAAATCCATCTTTATTAAGTTACGTAGGTTCAAGTGTACTCCGTCAAGACGCCAGACAATTTAAGTCTTTAGACAGGAAAAAGAAAGAAGACAAATGTTAAAGAAGGGGAGGGGGAAAAGGAGGAAGAAGATAGAAGAAAGACAGAGTGAAACCGAGAGGGGAAAAAGAGTGAATTATCATATGGAGGCATATCTGGTGACACTGAAAACACACAAAAAATATGATATATATAATATATATATATATATATATATATATATATATATATATATATATATCGAATGTAACAGCATAATTACTCATTTGTTAGATTGCTTTGAACTGGTGTAGCTTAGAAATGATTAAAGATACCTTACAAGAATTCTCTGCTGTTTTATAACACTATTGAACAAAAAAGCTTCAACCTTAAGCTTAATAGAAGAATCTTTATGAAATCGATCATAAACAAAAATTACTTGTTCATCATTTTTCAGTCATCGCTAAGATTTGGAAGATCATAAAGGATCTGAATAAAGTTCAAATATATATAAAATATATTATTTAAGGACCATTTTTCAATGTACTCAAGAATACCGTCGCCTTCACTAACGTTTTAACTTTCTGTCCTGAAGTAACAAGTTTCCTCACATACGATTTCATTTTAATGACTTTTTTCATTGCTCTTTAAACAGTTATAGCTGAAACTCCTCTCTCACGTGACAAATGTCTTATGAATTGAGTTGGATCTTTTTTTTAATTTTTCTCATGAGCTCTAAGTTAAAATGATGAACCCTTTTCCTGTTATGACCTCCTTATACATTTATTCTACCTACTGTTCCCTCTTTTTTTAACTTTACCTTTCTCTTAATGGTTGTTAAACGGAATTTGAAGAAGCCACAGTACGGGTCTTGGTTCCATTACTGATAGCCTGAATAATTTTTTTCTGCTAACCTCTGCTCAATTGAGAAGAGACTAAGACAGTAGGGCTGACACGAAATGACTTTAAGCGGTTCTCTTTCTAGCTGAATAACTCAGTGTTTTTTTAGTAATTCACCTAATCTGAAAACCTGGAAAAAAGAAGCATAATTAGTTTAGTGTTTTTTTTTTTTTTTAGATAGTAAATATTCTGTTGGGTGGACACCTATGCTGTAACACGATTTGGGCAAATTTGATGTTACACCAGGTATATATATATATATATATATATATATATATATATATATATATATATATATATATATATAGAGAGAGAGAGAGAGAGAGAGATAGATAGATAGATAGATAGATAGATATTGCAATGAGTCAGTCATGCAAAAAGTAAATTAGTAAAGTAATGAGATAAAATGATGAATTGAATTCTCTAACGATCTAATTAATGTTATGATTCTTGTTTTTTGTTTGTTTTTTTGTGTTTTTTTTTTAATTATATACTGTATTAGGTCTTTCCTTAAATATGCAAGTACTTCCGACGTGTTCACCGGTCATCGTCAGGCATGGAAACTATTTTCTTTTTGGTAAAGTTCAAGTAGTATCCGAGACGTAAAAATATGATACAAATCCAAATATGCTGTTTTGAAGTGTGTTATTGACAACGGATACAAACTTGCGGAGCGTACAGTCGCAACGCTAAGGCTGATTTTTTTTTTTTTAATAATATGGCAATTTATGAATTTTTTGGTGTAGGAGTTTATCAGCATATATATTATTAGTAATATATATATATATATATATATATATATATATATATATATATATATATATATATATATATTAAGAAATGGACAAAGTCCGACAATTTATTTAAAGACTTTTATGTTTAATCGTTCTTTTTAGATATAAGTATTTAAGTAAATGCTCTGTTTAATACCGTTTATTATAAACAGAGCTTTTTACTTAAATACTTGTATCTATAAAAAAGAACGTTAAACATAAAATGTCTTTAATAAATATATATATATATATATATATTGATTACATACATTATATATATAATCAATTATATATATATATATATATATATATATATATATATATATATATATATATATATATATAAATCAGCATCGTCATTATTATCAACAATTCTTCCCGTAAAAGAAATAGTTTACAATGCTTGATACCAGTTGTGTTATCCATTAGGGAATAAATCTCTGTAGAAACATATTTAAAAAATCGTCAGAAGGCACCTTTCCTCTCCAGAGGATTGAGCTGTCACGTCTCCGACCAAAGTGTCATATATAAACAATTAACACAATTAACTACCGTCAGATTATGTTCGATTATACAACTATTGACTGGAATAAAAGATTCAGAGCAATAGATGAAACTCACGTAAACAAAAACAAAAAAAAACAAAACTGCATGCCACAATCTATGAAATGTCTTTCACTCACTGCGGTCATGTGTTAAAATATATTTGAATTTTAAGGCATTTATACAATGTTATGGTGAAATCTACGCATGTAAACTCAAGTAAATACAAATTCTGGATCCTTAACAAGATCAACGCTCGATAAGCTAACTATCGATCCTAACTTTTCGTTGAAAATATCCAATAATTGTTTGCTTACACTTGATTTCCCCGTGTTCCATTCACAATTTATACGTAAAATATAACGACATTCTTGACACCGGGATTTATCCTCAGGTGGTTTAACAAGCATTCTTCTCTGGTCTATTTAATAAAACATTTTAAACGAAAGGTTGTTGCCTAAATATATTTGTTACACACACACACACACACACACACACACACACACAACACACACACACCGCCTGGTATTAATTATACTGATCTTAAGCAATTGTGTGAAGCGTGCACAAAAGAAGAATCGTATTTCATTTTCTTTAGTAATACTATGTTGGTCATAATGTGCTGACTCACTTTGGAAGCGGAATGAAAAACTACAAATCTTGATCGCTGTCTGGTGAAATTTCCAAGGAGTAATGCATTTCGAGGTTGTTCCACAAGGTCGCGCCATTAAGTCTAAAATGTATTGCCAGCAGCTAAAAGCCATGTATGAAAACTAAAGAAGGATTGTCCTGCTTTGGTCAATCAAAATCGGAAATAGTTTCGGCAAGACAATGTGAGGCCACACACTGCAAGATGGACTAAGGAGAAGTTCAAACTGATAGACGGTGTTGAGATTCTTCCACATCCACCATTCAGTCTCGATATTGCTCCGAGTGACTATGCCCTATTCCACTTAATAGCACACATCCTCTGCGACCAGCGATTCAACACTTTTGATGAAGTGAAGGAAGCTTGTTTACAGCTGCCTGATATCTGGGCTAAATGCGGATGCTGGCTGTTGGCAGGCAAAAGATCAAGAATAATGAACTTTATTTTAAAGAATAAATGTCGATGTTGCTCTATAAAATATTGTTGCATTCTTTTTCCGCCTTCGAAGTTAGAACATTCTGGCTAACGTATATATATATATATATATATATATATATATATATATATATATATATATATATATATAATTTACACATATATATAATCAGCATCGTCATTATTATCAACAATTCTTCCCGTAAAAGAAATAGTTTACAATGCTTGATACCAGTTGTGTTATCCATTAGAATAAATCTCTGTAGAAACATATTTAAAATCGTCAGAAGGCACCTTTCCTCCAGAGGATTGGGCTGTCGTCTCCGACCTTTCCTCTCCAGAGGATTGGGCTGTCACGTTCCGACCAAAATCGTCAGAAGGCACCTTCCTCAGAGGATTGGGCTGTCGTCCGACCAAAATCGCCAGAAGGCACCTTCCTCTCCAGAGGGTTGAGCTGTCACGGGTCAGAAGGCACCTTTCCTCCAGAGGATTGGGCTGTCACGTCTCCGACCAAAATCGTCAGAAGGCACCTTTCCTCCAGAGGATTGGGCAGTCACGTCTCCGACCAAAAATCGTTCAGAAGGCACCTTTTCCAGAGGATTGGGCTGTCACGTGACCAAAATCGTCAGAAGGCACCTTTCCTCTCAGAGGATTGGGCTGTCACGTCTCCGACCAAAATCGTCAGAAGGCACCTTTCTCCAGAGGATTGGGCTGTCACGTCTCCGACCAAAAATCGTCAGAAGGCACCTTTCCTCCCAGAGATTGGGCTGTCACGTCTCCGACCAAAATCGTCAGAAGGCACCTTTCCTCTCCAGAGGATTGAGCTGTCACGTCTCCGACCAAAATCGTCAGAAGGCACCTTTCCTCTCCAGAGGATTGGGCTGTCATTGCCTGACCAAAATCGTCAGAAGGCACCTTTCCTCTCCAGAGGATTGGGCTGTCACGTCTCCGACCAAAATCGTCAGAAGGCACCTTTCCTCTCCAGAGGATTGGGCTGTCACGTCTCCGACCAAAATCGTCAGAAGGCACCTTTCCTCTCCAGAGGATTGGGCTGTCACGTCTCCGACCAAAATCGTCAGAAGGCACCTTTCCTCTCCAGAGGATTGGGCTGTCACGTCTCCGACCAACGTGTGTTATCCCATTCAGTACGACTCAGAGTTTCATATATTTGCCAATCATCAGGCACAAACAGTTACAAAATTATCTCTGTTGCTGTTTCAATTTGTTTTTACTTTCTGGGTCTCATGGTTGCAATGCTACCTTGTATGGGGGATTTAATGTTCAAATTTATTATAAATATAATATGGTATAGGGTATAAATTTAAAATATAGATTGTTGGTAGGTGAATATTGAAAAGTAGACTAAGTTATTAATAGTATGTTTAATAGGAATATTGATCCGTTAATGTGTATTGAGTCAACGGATAAGATTATTGCAATACGAACTTGAAAATTTGGTAGTTAGCAAATTTAAGCGTGGGTACGCAAAAAAGAATATAGGTGAAATGAAAAGAAAAAATAAACAATAATAAAAAATAATAAACAAAATAAAAAAGAAATGCTAGTTAAAAGTTAAGATGGCGTAAGCGATAATTGACAAAGGCATGAAACTCTGAGCTTAACTGGCTTATGTTACCTTGAGCATTCCGACTGCAAAATTTCAACATGACACTCTTGAGGGGGACATCAACAATTTATTGCCAATAATTTTTGCGATCTTTTCCTTTTTATATACATTTAACATTGCTGTAAGTTTTTTTCTGTATTTTTGTGTGTTCGTGTGTGTATTGTGCTCGTGTAGCCATACGCCCGTCTCTGTAAATGCGTGTTCTCACGCCTTCGCCTGTCTCCGCGGATGTGCGTACGTGTAGGGTGCCGTGTTCATTTGCCTTTTCCTTTTTTTTTTTTTTATACTCGCCTTTTAGCGTTTTCTTTTTTTTTTTCTTTCGACTGTTGTCGTTTTTGTGGCAAGGTGAAACTACTCTAAACATGCCACCAAATTGGACATTTTATTTTTATTTATTTTATTTTATTTTTTTTTATTTTATTTTTTTTTTTTTCAGGAAAGTTTTATTTGGTTTTCCATAAATAATTGATATTAATGCTAAAATGATAAATATCTATCTATCTATCTATCTATCTATCTATCTATCTCTCTCTCTCTCTCTCTCTATATATATATATATATATATATATATATATATATATATATATATATATATATATACATTTGATTTGATATATATATATATATACACACATACATATATATTCATATACACATACACATGTACATATACACATACGATACTAATGATATTAATTTAAATGCTGTATATATATATATATATATATATATATATATATATATATATATATATATGTAACGTCATCCACAGACAGACTGTTTCGCTGTTTCACAGCTCATCAGTGTGATATATATATATATATTGAAAATAGCCATGTGTTTTTTTTCAAAAGTGGTAATTAATATTATATATATATATATATATATATATATATATATATATATATATATATATTGAAGATACTCATGTGTTTCTTTTCAAAAAAGTGTTAGTAAGCATTGATAATTCCTTTAGAAACCGATATGTATTCTTGCGCTTGGATTAATTATTTAATTTACATATCGATCAGAAACCATTTTCGAAAACTCCATATCAATATATGCAAATGAATGTAAAAAAAAAAATGTTGAGCATGTATTATAAATCTGAACACGTATTTTTAACCAAGAGTTACAAGGTAACGGGGAAATATTGAATGGGTTTAATTTCTCCATTCTTCAGCTTGAAAAAATCATTACAAGTTTTTATCCCAGATTGAAAATTATTTCATATCTAGTCTCAGCAGACTACCCTTATTTTTTATATGCCGCATATATTGTGCTCTTCCAGTTCCTTCGTCTATCGTCAAATAGGATTTGATTTTTGGACTGCTTTCGCTAATTCTTAGTTATCAGCAAAACTTGAAAAAATCGCCCGGTTCCAGATCAGAAACTCAACTGATACACCCCCTCTGACAGAAGATCTAGCCAATGACGCTTTTCTCTCGAGAGCGTGTACACCGACTAATATAAAATTTCCCCGCGCCAAATGCAGCAAGATCTGCTGTTCTCCAATAGGCCAATCCAAAACAGACCTAGACGACAACATCACATTCCAAGTAAATTGCAATATGTCTGAACCTATTCTCTGTTAACAAGTTTATTCTGAATACAGTTCGTGATTTTAAATTAACATTTTTTTATTCTTAAATTTTGGGATGACGAGTGACCTAATTAATATTTTTTTACATCTTTGTTACTATCGGAATTTTTCGAAAGTTTTGTCTCCCTGATTTTATCTCATTTTAGCCGATCAGGATAGACTTCGAGGGGGATATCTAAATTAACACTATATTTTAACTACGAGGGTAAATTTTCCTCATTTTCCTGAGCATATCTCGTGGTGTTCTTATGTAGCAATGTTCTGTTATTACGCGCCATGTTTCCATTGAAAGTAAGTCCTACTACACAGCGTAGGGATTCAACTCACATTTACTCAGTTAAGTTACTAAGGCTTTAATCCACTGGACTATTTTCCCTGTTGATTCTTGTGATAATATTGATGTAAGTGTACCAACAACGTTGTTATTAACATTTCTTTAAGCAAGACAAAATAGTAACTATAATGAAAATGAAACCAGATATCACCCGTCTTTTCAACAATGGATGCTGTTTATTTAGACTTCGATATCTCATGAGATATTGAGAGGATATAAAATGTCACGATCTCATGAGATTTCAAAATCAAAATTGTTGGGCCGTAAACAGGAAGGGTCTACACACATATAGAAAATAAGAACTAGTTTATTCCAGAGTATAATATGTCACAAATTTGTGAACACAGACTAATGTAATACACAATTAATCGTTAACTTCTCAGGTTTTCCCGAGACCTCACTCAAGGCAGGATATGGCACAGGCCGGTTTCTTTTAACGTGGTGCTTCCCGAGCACGTACGCTCGGGCAGAAATTACCCGTAGACCCTTCATACACGGGGTCAGGTAGCAGTCTACCTCCCCAAACGAGTCTTTGTCAGTGGACATCGCCTCGTTTGAGTTCCGAAGCCAGAGAGTTGACAAGTAGATTAACGATTAATAGGTAACTCCTACTCCTCAGTAAGAGAGAGTGCAGTTTAATTAGTCTCAGATGTGTCCATCTTGTGGGGGTATTCAGCTACTCCACAACAAAAATAGACCGCGTCCATAAGGCCACAAAAACAAACGTTTTTGAAAAACAAAAAAAAAGAAAGAAAATCTCTCACCATCGACATAATTTAACTGGTGACAATAATAAAAAGGCCAAAAACATTGGAATGCTTGGAAATTACACTGATCTCCGGTTTGAGGATGCCAAAATGTGGACAATTATTGTCTGTGCGGTCACTGGTGCATTGGCGTCTATACCAACGAACCCAAAGACATACATGAAGAAAATCGTAATAGTGCCTAGTATGCCATCTCTTCAGATTTCTACGTTGTTGACTCGATATAAAATTATTCGGAAGTTGATATTTGATCTTGTATGAACTGCTAGAGAACAAGCACAATGTAAGATCTGTGGTTGAAAACAAAAACCGTACGGAAGAAGAGAAATAATAATAATAATAATAATAATAATAATAATAATAATAAATGAATCAGGTCTTTTCATATTTCCGTAGCAGTCCCTGCAGATTGTAATGTGTCTTTGAAGATCTTTAAAAAAAAACTATCAAAATACACTTATATTTTTGTTTTTGTTTTTTTACAAAAATCTTTCAGTGGAAGACGTCATGAAGCCATTTCTGACCTTAGGTCTCTTTTTCGAACACGGAAGGAAATTTGTATGCAATAGAAACCCATGGAAATAATAATAATAATAATAATAATAATAATAATAATAATAATAATAATCGAAAAAAGAAAATTAGATAAGATGTAGTAATAAAAATATTTTCTTTTATCTTTATATTTAATAGCGCTATACACGAGAGAAAACTACAAAGAAAACTTATCCAATCAAATCTGTTTATTGACAATGACTTCATCAAGCAGGCTATGTTTTCTCTATGTGTCAGTGAACAAGACATTGTTGCCCCGGATTCGTTTAATATTCGCCAATATGGAGAGCTTTTTTTTTTCATCTTCTTTGTTTCTCCAGACAAAAGACCTGTTCATGCAGAGGCAGCTTGCTTGTCATTTTGTCGAGACTCGCAAAAACTACTTAACGTGATTAAATACGCCAATAATCATTGCCATCGTCTTCTATAACTGGAGTTCCGTTTCTCTTTGGGGTGGGTGGAAATTCTTTAACACGCATTCAAAGGAAGCTTTTACAAACATGTAAATCAACTGTTCTTTACAGTAATCACTTGATAGTTTTCATTTAAACAAAAAGTTATACTAAATATTTCAATGCGTTCACTTAAGATATTGATTGTTTAGAGTTTTTCAAAAAAGGAATAAACAACAACAAAAACAAAAAAGAGTGAGCATGTGACAGATATTGATTAGAATGAGCACAATATATATATATATATATATAATCCTGCATTCTTAAGACACCGGAGTCTGATGTCTGCTACTTGAAAGTACGAGTGTATATATATATATGTGTGTGTGTGTGTACACTATTTACATTGCTCGTACTATTATCCTCATCTTTGTTGCCATATTTATCACAATGTTTTCGGCCGTTGTACACTTTACCCTTTATTTCGCTCGCTGGGGTAGATTGTTCTAGTTCTTCGTGCCATGTCTAATGGATGTCATTTATCAGTTATCTCCTTTTAATTCCCCTCTCAAGTTCTCGACTGCCGTAACCAGGAATTGAACTCACATACTTTGGGTCTTATCACTGGATCTAACTAACACCTTTATCCACTGTGCCATGTGTCTTTGAGGACATCAATTCTGTCTTTACCATATTTTTTAATAAATATTCCCCTAATTGATGGACCAAGAGTCACTCACGGTAGAGGGTTACTGAATGATATTGCTGAATCGATATAAGCCGAGGAAATACATACAGATAATTATAATGTGTAGGATAACTAACTGTTGGGCCGAGACTTGAAATGGTTACTACTGTAGTATTGGGGGAAAACATTCTCTCGGGAGTTTGTTTCGCATTACGTATTAAATAGTCTTATTTGAATTGTTTTCTTACCAACAGAATACAACTGTAGTAAGATTGATTCGATCCACTGTACGTAGCAAGTTCTGAACTGGTGGAACTTATGAATATACCTTGTTGGAGGATTTTTTTTTCATGGAAATAGTGATCGGGATGCGACGCATTGATTGTGTAAGATGTGCTATAGGTGAGAAAATAAATAATCTCCCCCACCCCGCCAAGGGTGTGTAAACGCTTTTTGAACTCTGACAATTAAGGGGTGGACATATATGACAATATTACTTTGGATTTGATCTGTAATGATAAATCATATCAAAAGCGGCCAGGTAAATTCTGGAGCGACATAAAAAACTGAAAATCGTTTCATTTTTAGCAATATAACGCATATATAAGTCCGACTTGAGATCTCAGTAGATCAGTAGAATAGTATCATAGATGACCATGACAAGGAGAAGATCTAGGGTCTGCTTGATGATGAAGGTGATGGACGTTATTAGCTTGGTTTTAGATATCTATATGCCCATAAAAATATGAGGTCTGATAAGAAAAAAAAATATATATATCGGTACTCTTATGTTCACGGCCCTAATGTACGCGGAGTGAAGCCGCTAGAAAACTGTCGTGTATACACACAAAGTTATGAAGCTCTCGCTCACTTCCGTTGCTTATAGCGACGCTAGAAAAGAAAGTGTGTAGATTGTGTTCGTCTCGTCAGATCACAGTTTTAGGGACAAGACCATTAATCCCCAGGTCTGACAACCTTTCTATTTCCGAGGAAAGCTGCTCGCCATCACAAAAAAAAAGGAGTTCCAGATATGCTTTCCTCAATGGAAGCGACACTGGTTAAAGTGTGTTGATTCAGCAAGGGACTACTGCGAAGGAGATTAAATGAAGAATTAGCATGTGTTGTAGTTTTCTTTTTGTAGTAATTACTTTTTGATCAGACATAGGACAAATATACTGGGTGGGTATGTCTACATATATTAAAAATCAATATTCTAACGAAATCAATATATTCAAACCCGTCACTCTTTATCTAGAATACCCACGCTGATAAAGATATCCATTATGAATAAACTTACAAGCTCGTTTAAAATTTTCTACACACACAGCAATCTGTAACGAAATTTTAAAAAATTAGACATAGTTTAATAAAAAAAACTATTGCCTCACCAAATCATGCTATAGTTAAATAGATAAATTAACTTAAGCATAGAAAACATATTAGTAATATACTTTCTTCGAATGCCTCAAGATATGTTGTCGGGAATGTTTACTTTGTTCAACGTAGGATATGTTTTTCCTCCAGGTAATCCTGCTTGTGCTGATCAAGTCCAAACCATTATCTTTGTGTCCGTGTTCCTCTTGTTCGGACATGTTTTATCGTTTGTTTTCAATTTGCTGCTTTTCAAGTTTTTCGACCAGCTAATTAACTGCTTCTACGATGCTATATTATTTCATCGGCAATGCGAACGAACCGTTAAGATATATTTTTAAATTATTTAACTCCCAGCAAGGCGATAAAAACTACTAAGACACAAGTGTCCCTACGTGGGAAACAATATGAGAAAAAAATCATTAATAATCAGAGGGGTCACTTAATGTACAAGAATTAAATTGACAGAAGATGGGGATTGACATTGAAGTTTTGCAAGATCAAATTTGTTTGGATTATAAGAAGTCAAGAAATCCGAGAACTTATAGCTACGTCTTGATATTCCAACTGTAAAATAATAAAAACTAGCTGGCAATCTAATACTGTTGATAAAATCTTAAATCCGATTCACAAAAGATGAAAGCCAATGAGAACAATTACTATGAAAATATTTATAGAAAAGGCACAGAGAAATTACATTACGGTGATAGGAAAATGACTGAAGCCGAGATGCCAGGCAAAGATCGATAACATTCCAGATTGTATTTTTTCAAGAATCTCCTAAATACCTAACAGAATTATTATAAATATATAACAGAAGCATAAACAACAGACGTATTGGTCTGTCAAATAGGGTTTGGTGCTTCTTCTGTATATCTATGTATGCAGATTAAGCTATTCTACAGAATCACTATAAATTGACCAGTGTCTAGAAGAAAATACGTTGATTCTACAATTACAACATTATCATGATAGTTAACTTGTATTTATCCCATAATATTTAAATTAATTTGAATAACGACCACAAAAATAGACAGACACTCAAAATACGACACAAACAACAACATATAAAAAAAATTTAATTGATACAAAACAAGATAATATTAAGTTAAAACGTGAAGGTGAAATTTAACTTAATTAAAATTAAATTAACTTAACTAAATGTACAACCTTGCATTTGGAAAGTAGAAATCAATCAGCATGTAACTTCCAAAATACGACTTGGTAAGATAGATAAAATATGCTATCTTCCCCCCATGAATATGGAATCGGCTATTGCTCAACATTTAGTTGAGAATATAGCCTGCGCCAAGTTGTATAAAAAAAGAATGGTTTAAAAGTCATTCATGCGGCTGCTACAACAATCATTTGAAGATTTTAAATCAGTCTGTATAGGATTATGAAAACTTCTCCCTGTCGGCAGAAAAGATTTGTAAAGTCTCTTAATCTGTTGGGGATATTTTATTTTAACTGTCCCTCGCTAATTTATTTTTACACGATTATTTCCTCTCCTCGTTACAAAATATATACACTTGTTTGTTATTTTAGTGTGTTTTCCCCCTCTTTTTGCTCTTGATGAGATGTTGGTTGAAAGGGCCTTAGAGACTTTTAAAATTAAAATCAATACATTCCTTGTATTTAAAACTATATATAAATTTTGTACCTCTAAGTATTTGTATATATATATATATATATATATATATATATCGTCTGGTTTACAATCCTCTTCGTTGTTTTGAACAGGCTTAGAGGTTTATTCCTTCTTTCCTGTTTTGTTTTTTTTCAGTTTGCTTCTAAAGTCTTCTTATTCACTTTCCCTCTGAGTAAAACCTTAGAACTTCTTTTTTGTAGGTTATATATATATATATATATATATATATATATATATATATATATATATATATATATATATATATATATATATATATACACAAAGTGGGATCTGTATATGCAAATAGAACAGTACAGGCTAGCAGAAGAATGCACGTTTATTTATTTTCAGACAAGCTTCCAAGACATAGGAGTTTATCAAAGTTAAAAGCATCAAATGTGGCACCATCAAAGGTACACGTGCATATCAACCTCACTTTAATCCGATGAAGACCCAAGACACGAAACGCTTTACACGTAATCTTTTTACACTTTCTCGTGAATGTTCCAAACATAGCAATTCTACAATCACCATCGTCAGCATCATTGTTGTGTAGAAAGACTTTCGGTACACTAATTCAGGAACATGGACTCGTCCATCCACTAAGCGTAGAATGTCCGTACGAAGTCCGTACGGTGGACAAAACGTGGGTCGCAAGATGTAGCATTGAGTCGTACGCATTGCAGCACCAAATATATATTCCCATACATATATATATGTATCTGAAGTGATTAAACCTGTTCTCCGCTAACCATTTTGTTCCTTAAATTATTCTTTAAGCAGAACTACGAGCGTTAGACGAACATCATAACACTAATAACTATAAGTCTTTGGGAACTTTGATATAGTGTAATAGTTAGCAAATCTCTCTCGCTAGATCAATGACGATTGATTAGTGAGTTAGATCCTCACTGAGTACCCCACACATTCTACCTTGAGCCACATCCAAGCTACGTTTCAAAAAAATATTTTGAGCACTTCGTCGTAATATATATATATATATATATATATATATATATATATGTGAAGAAATATACTCTTAAGTTGTGCTATATTTATGGGGTAAATATATGCGCTCAATATCAGAGATAGATCATGTGTAACATAAAAGGAATTACTAGAGTCAACACTTAGAGGTTACAGGTTTGTTTTCATGCTAGATGCAATCGTCAACATGAAACAGTCTGTCGCTTCTAAGTAAGGACTTAAATGTTCGTATATATATATATATATATATATATATATATATATATATATATATATAAAAATTAATTGATTTAAATATGTTTTTTCGCTACACAGTTCCAACCATCTTACTGTTCTTTCTT